TTTTTTTTTTTTTTTTTTTTTTTAGATTAAACTACAAATACTAGTGTTAGATGCCAAGCTCTTGTCCACGAGAAGGTTGGAGAAGAGAAGTTTGAAGATAGTCTTGTTTTAGGTTATAGAACTAACCGCGAAGTTTTGGCAAGTTTTCTACTTAAGCTTAAAGATGTTAGACGAACACGGCTCTCCACAATAGTATGATATTGTCCACTTTGAGCATAAGCTCTCATGGCTTTGCTTTGGGCTTCCCCAAAAGGCCTCGTACCAATGGAGTTAGTATTCCTCACTTATAAACCCTTGATCACACCCTAAATTAGTCGATGTGGGACTTCCATCATCCAACACCTCCCCTTGAACAAAGTGCACCTCCCCTTAATCGAGGCTCGACTCCTTTGGAGTCTTAGTCATTTTTGACTGCCTTCGAGGAGGGGCTTAGCTCCTTTTCTTTAAGAGTTCTTTGTTCGATATTTGAGGATTTGAGGATTTACCAATCTATTGACACGACTAAGTTTAGGGCATGACTCTGATACCATGTTAGACGAACACGACTCTCCACAATAGTATGATATTGTCCACTTTGAGCATAAGCTCTCATGGCTTTGCTTTGGGCTTCCCCAAAAGGCCTCATACCAATGGAGTTAGTATTCCTCACTTATAAACCCATGATCACACCCTAAATTAGTCGATGTGGGACTTCCATCATCCAACAAAAGATAGCGTCTGTGTTTTTTTATACTGCATTTTGAAACAAGCTAGCTGGTTTACTGATGTGGAATGGAGTTTACAGCATTTAAGTTATTCAAATAACGTAGATAGCATTGGAACATGCAAGTGAAGCTCCAATTAAAAAGTATGATATTCATTTGATGGGTCTGTTGCAATATGAATGTAAGAATGTATTTTGTGTTGATGTTCTCGGCTAGATCGAACGATCATGCCAATTTTGGTTACCTTTTCAGTTGCCGAGAAGAGGGAGTTAGATTTATTAGCCTCGAGCAGGAACTAAGTTGTTCTTATTTTGTGTACGAGGAACAAAGTGATTGTTATTGGGAGAACAAGAGCGAACTGGATAGGACCTAACCAGGCCGATATTCTTAACTAGATTGTTAGCAGTCTCTCTCTTTCTCCCGTGACTGTTGTCAAAGTCAACAATCTTGAAACTTCTAGGATCTCTTTTCCATTCAATTGGATATCTAATTTTTCTTTTCCCTTTTGGTAACTGTGAACTGCTATTTTAATGTTGTATCTCCTCAGGCAAAAATGTATCTAAAGAGCATCGCAAAAGACCGGGAAGATTGGAAGGTGCTAAAAGAAGCATGGAAGACTCTGTTCAACGCAAGATGGAACAGTTTTACGAAGGTTCAGATGGTCCACCTCTCCGGGTTCTTCCAATTGGTGGTCTTGGTGAAATTGGCATGAATTGTATGCTTGTTGGGAACTATGACCGCTACATTCTGATTGATGCTGGCGTTATGTTTCCTGAGTAAGTTTATGTTCAAGGCTTTTCCATCTGTATGAAGTTCTAACAACCATAAGTTGTGCTATTCAAGCATTGGATTAAATTTTCCAGTAGATATAATTTTACATCTTAATCCAGATTTTCTTATTTGAGTCCACTAGCCATGGTTTCTTTCACTGTGGCGTAGTGTCTGAATTTGTGTCATCTATTTACAGCCACGACGAGCTTGGTGTCCAGAAAATTATACCTGATACCACATTTATTAGAAGATGGAGTCACAAAATTGAAGCTGTTGTTATTACACATGGCCACGAAGATCACATTGGTGCGTTGCCTTGGGTAAAGTTTCTTTCTAATTCCTTAGAGATACTATGTTTCCCCCTAAATATCAGATACTTCTAATTTCTTCGGTTTTTCTTATGTTTGGCATCTGTATAGCACATTATTATGGAAGTAGATGACTAAAATGAAATAAATGGAAGCATAGGGACCAATACGCTAAAAATTGTACAATTTGAACTTTTAAATCTCTCTTTGCTATTATTTCTTTGTTTTTTCACATGCTTAAGTTCTTCTAAACAGGTAATTCCAGCTTTGGATTCCCATACACCAATATTCGCTTCATCCTTTACAGTGGAGGTATATCACTACTTCACCAGATTGCAAATTTTTATCATTCTAAGAATTTACGTTTTTAACATCACAATGTAACTCTTGTTATATTCCTTTGCCAGTCAATCAGCCTGTAGAGATTTGCTATTACTTGTTAATAGAAATTATTGATCTCACGCTGCTATTTGTTTTCTAAATTATTACATTCCCACAAGGAAATGGGAAATTGTGCAATAGTAATGATCTTAAACTGAAATTTAAAGATCAAGGGTCAAGTCCTGCTTCATCTTTAGTTTATCATCAATGTGGTGCTTGCTTGTCATTTGTGGACTTAATAGGCAACACTCTTCTTCCTTGACAGCTTATAAAAAAGCGTCTGAAGGAAAATGGGATTTTTATTCCTTCTCGACTTAAGGTGTTTAAGATGAAAAGGAGATTCACAGCTGGGCCATTTGAAATAGAGCCAATTAGGGTTACCCATTCCATTCCCGATTGTTGTGGCTTAGTTCTTCGATGTGCAGATGGTACAATTTTTCATACTGGAGACTGGAAGGTAATATTGTTTGACGCACTATCTTGTTATTGTTTGTTTTTCTTACGACTACTGGAGGGGTCGTCGTCTTGCAGATTGATGAATCACCATTGGATGGTAAAGTCTTCGATCGAGAAACTTTGGAACAACTATCAAAAGAAGGAGTGACTCTTGTAAGCCAATCCTCGTTCCCATCTAGTATATCAATTGTGATGAAATCTAAATTTCTGATGTTTGCTAAAACTTTTGATTTAGGCATCTTTTTATGACTTCAGCTAATTTCAAAGCCAACTACCATGTTATTTATGGCTAGGAGAAATGGGCCTTATCTTTCTTGAAACTAGTTGTAGTTGGCAGGAATTAACTTGTTACATAGCATGCAATGAACATGGACAAAATGTGAAATGTTGTAAATTTATGTGAATTACTCTTCTTCTTCTACTTCTTCTTTTTTGTGCATGATAATAAACAATTTTGTTGATGTATGAATTGCATTAATGTGTGAGATATTTTTCAGATGATGAGTGACTCAACAAATGTACTATCTCCTGGAAGGACTATTAGTGAGTCTGTGGTGGCAGATGCACTTTTAAGACGTATCTCTGCAGCTAAAGGAAGGGTCATTACAACTCAGTTTGCTTCAAATATACACCGCCTTGGAAGTGTGAAAGCAGCCGCTGATTTAACGGGTCGAAAGTTGGTGAGATCTTCATAGTTAGATTCCTTCATTCTCTTATACTTTTCAATACTTAACCAAATTACTACTCATGGTAGCATTTACGTTTTCTTTTGCAAATTTTAATTCATGATTATTAGGTATTTGTTGGCATGTCTTTAAGGACATATCTGGATGCAGCCTGGAAAGATGGAAAGGCACCGATTGATCCATCGACCTTGGTAATCTTTCTAAAATTTTATTTTTCCCCTAATATATTTTCTGTTTTCAAGTTGAATTCGACACTTAATTTTTCCCTGGAAAGCTATAGTTTCTTATTGATGTTTGACAATGGACAGAATGTGAAGATGTTCTTGCCATTATATGGGAAATCTGGTTAAAAAGAAATAAGCAATAGATAGGATATGACTTGTTTTCTTTATCGTTCTATTGTTATGG